TGGGGATGGGTCTCCTGGCTCTCCCCTGGGGGGTTCAAGGGTGACATTGTGCCCCATTTCCTGAGGGGAAGTCCCTCAGGCTGCTATAACAAAAATACCACAGACTAGATGGCTTATAAACAGCAGAAATGTATTTCTCACAGTTCTGAAGGCTGAGAAGTTCAAGATCAAGGTGCCAGCAGATTTGGCATCTGATGATGACCTACTTCCTGGTTCAGAGATGGCCATCTTCCTGCTGTGTTTTCACGTGGTGGAAGGGGCCAGGCAGCTCTCAAGTCTTTTCCCCAGAGCACTCATCCCATTCACTGGGGCCGCACCCTCATGACCTAGCCACCTCCCGAGGCCCGTCTTCAAATACCATCACATTGGGATTAGGTTTCAGCATGTGAATTTTGGAGACCCACAAACGTTTAGTCCATAGCAGGGGGCAATGCTTTTATCCCCCGTACAAAAGAGATAGGAAGTGAGTGACCCGAGGTCCTCTAGACCGTAAGTGGTAGAGCCAGGATTCCTATCCAGGAAGTCTGGCTACAAAGTTGGGGTCATGAACACACACACACACACACACTTTAAGTTCTCATAGATAGGACCATGTTGCACATTCCCTCTGTAGTGCCTGAGCATCTTTCCTTTTTTAAAATTTTATTTTCAGGTGACATTTTGTAAATCTAATGACAAATGTTCATTGTAGGAGAATTTGAAAATATAGAAAAGTTTTTTAAAAAATCCCCCCACAACCCCTCTGGCCACTGTTAGCTCCTGAACCTCGTACGTTGCTTTTTCATGCACATACAGTAAAATTCACTGTTTTGTGTGTGTACAGTTCATGAGCTTTGATGGCCAGTAGTTTGTACGGCTCTTCCCGTGGGTGTCCATCCCACCCAGTCCCAAACGTGTGAGAGCTGCAGGGGAATGGGGGCAGCTGCAGTTCATGTGGGGGTGGGGGTTCCCCGGATGATTCACCACAGGAGGGAGATGGTCATCCTGCTCCTTGTTGACTCAGGTCAGGCTTTTTGGAGGGGGCAGCGGGGCAGGGAAAACCCTCTCTGTTTGTGGCCTGGTATCCTGGGCGCCTGGGTCCCTGGCCCCCTGCAGCGAGGCCTGCTGGAGCCTGCGCGTGTCACACCAGCACCTGCTCTGGGAGGTATGTGCTGACTCCCCAGCTCCCAGGCACAGACTATTTTTGGCTGCAGTGACTGTTCACTACAGTCATGACAACAAAAACTCTCCCTGCCTCGTCCTTCCCTGGGACACTGCACAAGGGGCCAGGGCTGCCGGGGACCCTGGGCTCCGGCCCCTCACCATGCATTGCCTGTGGAGCTGGGTGACGGCCAAGGCTTCGAGGGGCACGGCCCCACCGCCCGTGGTGCTACGAGAAGCACGAGGCCTGGACCAGCCTGGGCCCGAGGGCTGCGAGGTAGGCTCCGGGGGCTGGGATCAGGCAGCTTTCCTGTGAGCACCTGGAACGGGTGTTGTCTGCGCCCCCGAGTCTTTGCTTTGCTAACCATAGAACACGCCTGGGGGAATCTGCATGTTGGCGTAGAATGTGACTTCCATTTCATTATTTCATCCCCTGTCTTGTGGTCAAGCAGCTGAGGAACTGGCAGAATCTTCCTGAAGTAGATCTCCCCCATCCTTCTAGTGAATATTTTTTTGGCCTGTTCTTGCTTTTGGTTTGAAGAGGGCATACATTTGCTGGGAGCTACTCCTTCTGCAGGAGCTTAAGAAACTGAGGTTGTACAGGCGGGCCCAGCCCTGCCTCTCAGGGCTTCTGGTCAACCAGGCCAGGGAGCCCAAACCGTGTAGAGGCATGAGCACTAACTTCAGAGTTACACAGACCAGGGCCCCGTCCAGGCACCATCGCTCACTGGCTGCACCTTAAGTGAGTGACTTAATCTCTCTGAACCTCACTTTCCTCAGCTCTCACTTTCCTTAGCTACCAAGCCGTGTGCCCAGGCCACTTCGTGGGTTGCGATAGTACCGGTGGTTGTTATTTTTATAGTCAGGCTGGTTGTGAAAAGAGGAAGTATGTCAAGAAGCAGAGTAAGAGTCAGGGTGCCACAGCCCTGGGTGGGCCTTGGTCGTGTCTCAGAACCTGGGTGTTTGGGTGTAGCTGGTGATGCGGGGTTTGCTTCTTCTTTTCAAAAAGAAGAAAAGTGTGTGCTGTCACCCACGTGGGCATGGGTAGGGGTAGGCAAGGCCGTGGAGATGAGGATTGCTGCCCACCTGCCACCTTTTGAGTCACCAACACATTAGGGACGTGCCAGGCGCTGGGTGGAGCCACGAGCCCAGAACGCCATTGCGTCTGAATCCCACAGCGCTCTGGGCCCACGTGGCTTGGCATCCCTGGGACCAGCGCCTTTGGAGGTGATTCTCAGGGCAGACCTCGGGAGGTCTTCCCCTTGGCTCACCTGTCCGAGCAGCTCAGGAAACGTGGCAGAATAAAACCTTCCTCTGTGGATAAGGAATGCCCACTCTGGGGGACGGTGAGCTCTCCAGGGGTAGGATGTATCCTGGTGCTGGTCACTGGCAGGGCCTGGTTCTGGCGCTATTGTTCTGGGTGACCAGGCAGGTCCCCTCCCTCTCGGGACCTCCGTGTCCTCCTCTGTAAAATGAGTATTGGACTCGACTGTCTCTGAGGTCTCCTCGAACTCTGCCTTTGACCTTGGCAGAGGAAGGGTTTCTCCCCTGTTAGCTCAAGAATATCCATTGGCCCCTTTCATGCCCTTAGACCAGGGGTCCTCAAACTACAGCCAGCGGGCCACATGCGGCCCGCCGAAAACATTTATTCGGCCCGCCGGGTGTTTTTGCCGCCGCTGCCTGTCCTGCTTAGCAGCTGACTCGTCCCGGGACCGCAGTGAGCAGGGGGGGCAAGTCTGAGGTAGCGTGAACTGGCCCCAGTCTAAAAAGCTTGACGACCTCTGCCTTAGACCCTAGAGACTCTAGCGATGAACACTCTGGACTGTGTCCTGCCCAAACACTCAGAGCTCAAATGGGCTCCCATTGCTGCT